GGTAGTTAGCATTAGTGAGAGAGGCTAAGGTAGCCCTCCAAAACACTGTCCGTCGGTACCGTCGGTACCGATGGTAAGGCAATTCACCATCGGTAAAAAAGGATTGTCCGTCGGTACCGATGGAGAAATGAATTGACCATCGGTAAATTTGAAAAGTCCGTCGGTGAATGAGATAGTTAGCATTATTGGGATGGCATAAGGTAGCCCTCGAAAACACTGTCCGTCGGTACCGTCGGTACCGATGGTAAGGCAATTCACCATCGGTAAAAAAGGATTGTCCGTCGGTACCGATGGAGAAATAAATTGACCATCGGTAAATTTGAAAAGTCCGTCGGTGAATGAGATAGTTAGCATTATTGGGATGGCATAAGGTAGCCCTCGAAAACACTGTCCGTCGGTACCGTCGGTACCGATGGTAAGGCAATTCACCATCGGTAAAAAAGGATTGTCCGTCGGTACCGATGGAGAAATAAATTGACCATCGGTAAATTTGAAAAGTCCGTCGGTGAATGAGATAGTTAGCATTATTGGGATGGCATAAGGTAGCCCTCGAAAACACTGTCCGTCGGTACCGTCGGTACCGATGGTAAGGCAATTCACCATCGGTAAAAAAGGATTGTCCGTCGGTACCGATGGAGAAATAAATTGACCATCGGTAAATTTGAAAAGTCCGTCGGTGAATGAGATAGTTAGCATTATTGGGATGGCATAAGGTAGCCCTCGAAAACACTGTCCGTCGGTACCGTCGGTACCGATGGTAAGGCAATTCACCATCGGTAAATAAGGATTGCCCGTCGGTACCGATGAAGAAATGAATTTACCATCGGTAAATAAAGATTGTCCGTTGGTACCGATGGAGAAGTGAGTTTACCATCGGTAAATTTGAAAAGTCCGTCGGTGAATGACGTGCAGGCTGTTATGAAGCACCCAGGCTCTCTCTTGAGAGCCTGAGTTTTAGATTGAGTATCAGGTAGCCCTCAAAAACGTTGTCCGTCGGTACCGTCGGTACCGATGGTAAGGCAATTCACCATCGGTAAATAGAGATTGTCCATCGGTACCGATGGAGAAATGAATTTACCATCGGTAAATTTCAAATGTCCGTCGGTGAATGACGCAATTATATGATTATATTATACTGTATATTGTGATTTCGTGCGGCCATAGACATAACTCATTTGATACACGATGCGTAATACGTAAATAGGCTTATAAATTAAGTATTAATTAATCAATTTACTGTAGTCTTTGCTATTTATAACCACTAGCTAGGGCCGCTATAATCACTAGCTAGGGCCGCTATAACCACAGCGTTTATATATAATATATTTGACGCATTGCGAAGAATTCAATACACCGAACTTCTCAGAAGAGGTGAATAAATTGTATGTAATATTAAAGTACTTCAAGCCGCTGCATGTATATATAAAATGCTAATAAGTATTAAATGACAAACATTTATAGGTTATATAGTGTTTATATATAATTTAAAGACAATGCGGCTCACACGACTCTCTATGATATGCGCACATCCACGCAAGACATGTAATACGAGTTCATATTTATTAGTTTTGCCCACAGGATATTTAGTAGACGGTAGCTAATTATATATAAAGGCTTGCAAAGGTTGGACAGTGTATTTTCAACGACTACAAATCTACGTATTAAAATACATGAATTTATAAGTAAACAAACTCGACTGAGTTTTGTCTGAACTGCCGCTGTGTGATTTATAAATAGTCGACGCAGCTGTTTTCAGTCTCAAATTACTGACATACCGTGGGGTGCATTATTTAAATTTGCATGGCAAACAGAGGCCTCGGCAAACTGCGAGAAACGCTTTGAATGGAGTCTTATTTGAACAATCGGGTTATCCTTGGACGGTTAATATTTGTATTACAAGCTCTTGGCGACTATTTTTTATTTATTCCACGTTTTTGTGGTGTTGTGAGGCGATATGTTGTCAATGGCGGTGTTCAAGGGCCGGAGAGTAACGGTGACGTTCAACACGACGAAGGGCTCGAAGATCAAAGATTTGCGTGTGAAACAAAAGGTCTTCTTTACGTGGATCGTGAGCAATGTCTTACAGAGGGGTTAAAAAAATCATTCGACCATTTTCATGATTTTACATTGAAGTGCGGTTCTCCCATTGGAACTATATTAATGTCGGGAAGAAGTACATGTCGCCGGTGCAATGGCAAATTATCAGTAGACGCAAATGGACATGTTGTGGTATTTTACCACATATATTTTGGTAGTTACCTTGGTTCTCGAGTGAAGAAATCATGCCGCAAATGCAAGTTGTACGAGCATTATGGTGGTTGGACAGAGGGTGGTAAACACTATTTCGATGATGATTGTCTGAACAATGAATTTTTGTTGACGTCTGAGGAAACCGCATTTCATGTGCCTTTACTTAAAGAGTGTGGAAGTTTACTTCTGGTTGGCGCGTTGGCTTTTTCGTCTTTTGCCAGCTCATACAACCACAGATTTGGTTACCGAAAACAAAAGGATATGTGCGACAGGTCGAAGGCAAAGAGAATGAAAACGTTAATATTAAATGATAAAATCGTCATACGCAGAGTATTAAAATACAGAATAATACATGGGTGCGGGGTAATACCAGATTTATTTGGAGTGTTGAACATGATATCTCACTCGTTCGCGATAGTATACTGTGTCTGTATACAAATGGTTAGCCTATGGCATGAAATAGTGTAATTCATGTGAAATTTCATTTGATTGGCATAGTGTACCATTCCGTTTTTCGTAAGGAGTTTTATTACTGTATATTGGCCGTTAGTTTGTGTGGGGATTGTTATCCTTGTTATTGCTTGGCAGTGTTTAACATTAAATATTTCATGAAGGTATTCTTGAAATACAAAATTATTCTTAATGGGGAAGTCAAGTCCGTAATGTAAACAAACGGTTTGTTTACATTTTGAACTGCTGTATTTTTTAAAATATGATGTACTGTCTGAATATCTAACACCATTCTGGTTCGCTATGCTTCTAAATGAATATGAAATAGAGTTTATGTTGAGAAAAATTCGAAATTTGGGCAATGTTCACATTAGAGGTCCTCACATTGTTATGAGCAGAAGCGATGCGCAGAACAGATTTGACTTCCCCTTTAACTTGGGTGACGGTTATTAATTTACCACTATATTCAAGTTTCATATTTTGGGACTGGTAGAAAGATGGTTAAGTGGTTTAGCGCACTTGCCTTTTACCTCTAAGGTTGCAAGTTCAAATCTCGGTGAGAAGTAAGAACTTTATCAATGCGACTCGAACCCAGTCCTCATGTGAAAAGAGTAAAAAGTGAATGCTGTGCTGAAAATCGTGGGTTTTCTCTGCGTAATCCGGTTTCCTCCCACAGGCAAAGTTGACAGGGTGGGTTAGGCAAAAAGGGCCCACAGTAATTGGCGTATGCTGTTGTGGTGACCCCTCACTAGTAGGCAAAGCCAAATAAACAAATTCCACAGTTTTAATATATAGTTTGTGAAATTAACGGCCTGGGAGTTCGATTGAGTATTAAAACTTAAAACTGCCTATCCTACAAGAGTATTTATATAATCTGGAGTTTTAACTTGTATCCAATACTTTGTCATAATGGAGCCCTGTACTATCAGACAAACTCTACCCAGTTAAGCATATACGGTCAAATTTGTACTTTTAGAGTGGCCAGCAAGTACTTGTTAAAAAAATTCAAATGCAATGATTCCAGGTTATTTACCATCCAAAGAAATTTATTTTGAAAATTCAGATAAAGACATTTTACCTAATAAACATACACTCCAGATTTCACAACCATACAATATACGTGGATGAAAATAGTTTTAGTAATTTTTTAATCAGTATATTTTGTGTATTTGAAAGTTGGTGCATTAGGGAGTGGTCATTATTTACGGGGAGGGGGGGGGTTGGGAAATGGGGAAAATAAGGATTGAAAACATTTTTGACCCCCCTACAGAATGAAGGCAAACTTTTTGTGCCTCCCCCCTCATAAAAGTAGAAACTTTCTGACCCCCCCCCAGTGTGGATTGAAAAATTAACAGCAATGAAACAGGTGTGCGTTGTAGGTACAGTTAGACATTAGGCCAATCTGTTTAATCTAGCTCATGATGTTTTACCCTGGTGAATGTGATTCAACCATATATGATTAAAAATATATATATTATGTGTTACTACTTTGCAATGCAACATTTGTCCTACCATAACCCTAACCCATGACTTGTCTAACCCTAACCCATGACCCGTCTTGGATATACAGCGTTACATTGTGCGTTGATAGACCGAATCTGATCGGTTAAGTGTACTTGCATGGTATGTTTATGTAAATACCACAACTGGATCACTCAGGGGGTAGAAAGTTTGTTAAACTTAGTGCCGGCCCGACTCCCATGATCGTGAGGCGCTACCATGGTTGGCGCCGAGCAGAGAAATTTTGAAAATTTTGAGTCTCTAGATTGTTGGAAATAGCATTTTCAGAGTCTTTTTTTGCTATTTGTGATTATAGAAATCAGAACTCTAGACATGGTATTTAAGTTCAAAAACATTTATGACCCCCCTTTCTCTGTGTTAAAACTTTTTTGATCCCCCCTATTTATAAGGGTAAAACTTCGTTCCCCTCCCATTTCCCAACCCCCCCTCCCATAAATAATGACCACTCCCTTAGACAATTGTAAGCCCATAATGCCTTGTTGTATAACAGTGTTATCAGTATATGTTAAGATTATACCAGCACAATGACAAGTTAATCCCAAATATGCATATTTGTATACACATTTTCCAGTGGATTGTCCTCAAAATACCACTTGGATGAGATAAACTGTCATCTCTGAGACTTTGTCCCGAAAATCAAAATTTTGAGGTTTTTTAGGTTAACTAAATAAAGAATGAATTATTATACTGTAGTACTGTATATAGTGGTATATATGTATACTGTATATACATAAACTTTTGACCAAACGAACCCAGGCATTGTAGCAACTCAACAACACCATGTATTTGGCTTTGAGAGCAGGTTTTTTACTCTGGTATTTAGTTTAAATATAATTTTGCCTCAGTTCATGTTTTGGTCAAGATTAGTAATAATTAAAGTTACTGTACTTCTGCAGTTGTTTCAGGCAATATGTATGTAGTAACCAAGAGTCTAAAGCTTAAGAGTAATACATTGGTAATTAAGGTTTAAAATTTGAAAAGACAAACATGTTTGGCATAGTTTAGATTTGTTGAAGTATATTGTGTATTTATGGCAGAAAAACACCTCAAAACATCAAAGTTAGCTGTCTTTTTCTGTCATGAATGAAGCTAATATTATACTTTTAAAAATTATTAATGTTTTGTGTGAATAAGGGATTTGGCATCAGAGCAGAAGGAGTTACTACGAGTGCGGCGGTTTATGGACAGAAGATGACTGGAGGAGGGATTTCTACTACTTGCTGCTTTAGAGATTAAAGTGGAGTATTCTTTGACATTGGAAAGTATTCCTTATGACAAGACGGAGCTGGCGAAGATTATTGTCCAACAGTATGAAAGTGTATTTTATAAAAAGTGGACAGGTATAAATATTATACACAGCCATATAAATTCTTCGAATAGTGTTTAGCAACATATTATAAATAAGTAATGTAATGATTATGAACAAGTGTTGAACTTTCAGTATACAGTGCAACAGTCCAAAATTTACTAGGGCTGGTTATATAAAAAAGCAATTAAAGTTAACTTTTGTTAGTGCGAACGTTGTTCAATCAGAAGCGCATATTTGAGAGTTAATCACTATTTAACTACAAAACAGTTATTTAAAAGCGATTAAGCATTTTACATATACAACCAGCCCCAGATGTGATCTTTAATATCTTGAAATATTTTATCTTGTTGGATCTGTCAACTTCATGACTGTCTTCTGAGTAATCATTTTATTTTTCTTATGTGTGCAATTTGTGTTGTAGATCATGTTTGTGCTGTAGCTGGGTGCAAGACTGTTATTGTAATAGATGGTAACATGAAGAATGCAAGGCAGGTTTGCTCATGTGCAGATGTCGGAGAGCTATATTTTGACGGAATGCCTGGAAGCATTCTTGTTGGTGAGTTTGACTGAAAGAAAAAAGATTTATTTCGCTAGACGTTCGGCTTTCTTGTCGTTTCCTTGCCGCTCTTCATTTGGCTCCATATCTTTTCAATTGGTATTTGATACCGTAATTGTTTTATTAAACTTTTTATAGAACAAATTGCTTTGAAAGCTGTCAAAGTTTTTTGCAAACGTACAAAATACTGTAGTGTAAAAAGCAAATTATTTTCATGAAGTATCTGTCAGTTGAAGTCGTCATTTGTCATACAACAACAAATTTTAAATTTGACCAATCAGTGTTCGCTATCCATGACAGTCCGCCATATTTTTGAGATCAGTGAGGATGACCACCCACTCAAGGTTCGTTGGTCACGCCCGCGATATTTGAGGAACTTTAGACTTGGCTAATGCTTTCGTTTCCCCGGGTGTAAATAGCCGGGGGGAATTAGTACCCTCGCACGGCCCTTCGCGCCGCCGGCTCGGGGATAATTAAGAGACGTTATAAATGATAATAATAGTTTTATTATGGTTAGCATGTATATCGTGGTAAAAGCCATAAAATATTTGTAAAATGCGACCTCCGACTTTTTATATACGACTCGATAAAACAGTCCTACGCATGTTTTAAATAGAACTTAAAGAACTAGATAAAGTTAACGGATCAGTGTCACAATGTCCTATTATTTTTATGTTATAAAATAATATGATCATTGTGTCTTCATTTGTTTTGAGTCACTTTGTGAAGAGGCTACACTGTAGTTCTCCCATTTCTCCAACTTTTAATATGGCAAATATCATGCATTAAAGATACGTTCATTGCTATATAAGCAAATTATAAGCGTGTACGTTAAAGTAGCTTTGCGCTTAGTTTAATCAAGGCCCTGTACCTGGAGTGAACGCCTGAGTAGGCGTCTTGTACTGTATTATAATTAGACAGGCACAATTATTAGCATGCATGTGTGTTGAATTTGAACAGGCGTGTAAACCATGTTATTACTGTAATGCTTCTACTTGAATAGAACGAAAGTGAGATAATTTGATGTATTTTGATAAGAACAAAGTCTTCAATTTAACGTGACATTAGCGGGCTTAAGCAAGCGACGTTTAGACAACACGAACGTTGACCGGAAGCAAATTTGACGTCATCAACCAATCAACATTCTTGACCCAGTCTTTCAACGTTACTCATGGGGGTCGTGTTGTCAAAAACGTGCCTTGCTTAAGCTCGCTACTAACGAGCGTGATACCAGCGTGCATTTAACCACTGCATGTATGCATGTTTATTTGTGTTTTGTTTTGGCAGATGCATGTGTTATTTACTATAGCCAAGTCTGTCTAGCTCTTGGTAACATCACAGTTATGATATTTAGAGAATACTACTTTTCTATAAGATTTTGGTTAGCGTAGGTTTTTTATAGTATACAAATAATGAATGTTTATGAGTGCAATGGTAAGAATGTTTTCATGAGGTGAAAGATGGAATGGAACATTCCATTTTTCACGGAATGAAAATATTCTTACCATTGCACGAATAGAAACATTCATTATTTGTTTTATATAATACCAAAATAGACTAATATTAAAAGGTTTACTGTAAGCTCCCGCCATTTTGACGAGTCGTATTTGCATTAAATCCCATTTACTGAGTTTCGAATATCGGGTTAAAATAAACTGCGATCACCGTACGAGAAGCATTTTGACTGATGCGATTTATCGAAAACACAAAGAGTGCAATGGAATAAAACGCATAGTATAATTGCACTCGCAAGAGTGCAATGAAACGTATTCCATTGCACTCTTGGGAAATGGAATTTTCTATTCCATATCACGTGACCATAAACAGCCAATTAAACAATCAGAATTCAATAACTGGTATTATATAATATACTATAGTGTAGTATAGTATGGTATAGCATAGCATAGCATATAGTATTATAGTTTTATAGTGCAGTATTACAAGGTAGTGTATTGAGTTTTAAAAGATAAAAAATGATTGCAAATTTTTTTGAGTCAGAATATGCAGACGCAGGCAACTGGCGTTATACATCTATAGACCCAGAAATGTGGCGTTAAAAACAATACATGTATATATGGCGTTATACATGTGTTAGACTATTGCCATGTTAATGTGGAAGGATGTTATGTTAAATTTTAAAACAAAATGTGCGAATTGGTATTGCAGAAGATGTTTGTGTGGTTGTAGTTTGCAATACCTTTAGCCCACTAGCTTAACTTCCATCTCAGTGTGACGTAATATATGAACAACGAGAGCGAGTGTTTCACTGGGATATTGAAATAGGAGAAAACAATTTGTTATCCAAACACGAGAAAAGAAGTTGGGGAGAAGTTTGGTGGGAAACAAATGCTTCCTTAGTTGCCTAGAAAAATTCCTTGCACGTTCTCTGAATTTCCTTTTTGCGGGAAAATGAACTAATCTTGGACTCTCAGGACCGACTTTCTCTGGTTTTATGCGCCGAAACCTTATTAGGTAAACGTAATACCTGATGTAAAGCGCATTTGATAATATTCGCATGTAAACTTGCGCTATAGAAATGCCAATCGTAATCATTGAAAGAAAAACGTATCTGTTAGTGTTATATGTAAAACTGATTATGACGTACATAACATTGGTTGAACTGCATATCATGATGAAGTAAACCTAAATGTATAAAGTTCATTTATCTTTTCGGTTCTATGGAATAGCACAATATATAAAAATTTCGTGTCATGTGCACTTGAACGTAACAGCACAATTAAAAAATAATCAATAATTACCATGTACTGATATATTGTACAAATGTGATATACATACAGTAAAACAAATCAAGAAATAATAAAGGGCCATACAGTAATTTTTTAGTCGAAAAGCCACCTTAAGTAGGGGACTCCACAGAGATTCGTTTGGATGTATCTTACATTCATTATCGATGAGTATGAGTACTTCCGCACCACAGAAAAAGCATGCATGCTGTGGTGCGCATGTCAAGTAGCGAGAATAACAGAAAATGTAAACAATATGACAATTTGTGTCAAACAAACATAAACTTACTTCACTAAAAAATGACTGTAGGGCCCCTTTAACAAAGTGTAAGTGCGAGTAACGTACGATTTTAGTTTGAAATGACACGAGGCGTAATCGTGTCTGTATAAACAACAAGGTTGTTTGGAATCTGCACTACTCGCATGAAAATTACGGGTTCTGCGTTAGTATATAATTCATAATCGTGTTTAATTGTTAGGTGGATTATTAGTATTTATTTTTGTAGTGAACTGGAACATTATATTTTAGTCATTTACGTGCAGCTACACAAAATACACATCTCTGTTAGATATTCTCTGATTGTGACATTGACCATGTTTTGTGGAACGGCTGATGCATGGGCGGTGGTATATTATGTTACTCTGTAGACTCTGACTCTGTTCTTGGTCGCTTTCTAGGGGTGGCGGTATCGTTATTCATTCTTGTTTGGTATTCCAACAAATGTTTTTCGCTACAATGAAAGATCTACTATATTATTATAGTATGTCCGCACTATGAATTATGCATATGGCCAGTATGGGTGACGAATTGTATAAAGCATGTAATTGTTACAGTTAATTTCAGATTACTTTTCCGCGTAATGTTGGGAAGTTCGTTGGAAAGTCGAAATGTTCGTTCCCAAAAGTTCCCAAGTTGATAGGTTTAATTTCCAACTTCGTAAATTATGCAATCAAATTGCGAATTTCGGATCAAAGGCAAAGCATATTTTTATTGCATAATTTGTGAGTTGGAAATTGAACATAAACGCATGCACTTAATGAACTTTCGAACGAACTTCTAAACATTACACGCAGAAAGTAATGTGAAATTGACTGTAGAGTACTTGTTTGTTTATTCTTTAGAGTTTTTATTCAAACGGAAAAATGGGGATGACAGAGATAAGGCAACTGCCTTATAATTCTTTATTAATAGATTTGAAATAAATTAAATGTGGAATAATGTATAAACTGGTGTAGTCTTTAACAAATACATATATCACTACTAAACGATTTTATGTCGTTCACGAGGCAAACTAAAATTTCGGACAATATGGAGTTTAAAAAAGGAGGGGCTGGCGCATGCAACCATTGGCCCCCGGTTACGCGGCCACTGACTGCAGGGCCGTAGCTAGGGGGGTATTGGGGGGGGGGTTAACCCCCAACTTTTTTAGAATTACCATATTCGGAAAATCGGGTTGGCTATTCGGAAAATTACGGCAATAATAGTATAACAAAATTTTAGTTGTTAAACAGAGAAAATATAATAAAATTGTATTGTCAGTATAAACTGATTTACGAAATCATGGCATTTACATGGATAACATGTAACAAATGGTAAATCGGTTTATTACTTTTAACAAATCGTAAAATGTGAATTGAAAGCAAATTGTAGTAAATTTCGACATATTAGAACGCTGTTTTCTGACCATCAGAATTCTGTCAAAACTTCCCCAAAGTTCAGGAAATGGCATTTCAGGGACTCTAAATTTAAAAATTTCCTCGGGCCTTCGGCTCTCGTTCTCCGCCCCCAATAAAAAAGAGCTTCCTACGGCACTGCATGCTTCTGTGAAATATTCGGAAATTTTTTTCGTTTTTTCGTTATTCGGAAATTTTTGGCCGACACCCAACTATAGATGCTAGCTACGGCGCTGACTGACTGTAATTCTATATCACTATCATTCAAAGCAATTACTGGTACATGTATTACTTAATATTACATAGTGTCATAATTCTAACCTTTGCTTGTTGGTGGCATTGAAAGCAGTTGTATATTCGTCAATGTCAAGGCCAACCTTAGCCAAGTGTTGAATAAGCTTAACGGTATCTTCACTTGTCTCATCTTCAGGCAAGTCATCTTTCACAAAGAAGTACACCTGTTTGTTAAAAATAGTAGTTTGCAATTCAGTTTGGTGATTAGTTGCACGTATATAAGTATATACTATAT